CCAGAAAATTCATTGTCTGCTTTGTCTCTCAGGTTCAGCAAAAGCACCCAGAACGCCCTCTAGACTCACTTCAGCCATGACTAACAGTCTACACCAGTAAAGTAATAAAAACACTCTCATTTCATTAATTTAATCAGCTGCCTGCTTCACTCAGCAAATATTTATGCTGTGTCTGCTGCAGGCTTTGCGCTTGGATACCAGGCTGTGGGCCCAGAACCAGCAGCCCTTATACAATGGGAACAAGGGGAAAGCCAGGACTAGATGGAGCTCTGGCTTCTTTGAAGACTCAGCTGTGATCCCCAAGCAGGTCAGTAAACTCTCTCGAAGCCTTAATTTCCACGTCTGCTAAAGGATAAGAAAAACTGCCTGACAGTAATTTTGAAGACAGTATCCTGAACCTTCAGAGATTACAAACCAGCACTTGTTTTGTTGATGGGTATTTTGCTTTCACAGATAAGGCTGGTGAAATTATCACTTCCATATATAAAAGCACTATAGAGATAGTAACAATGGGCCTAAGTATGTCAGAGATGTAGGGGGTGGCACAGGATAGGACAGTTCAGATCTTTGTTCACAGGATCTCGACTAGAAGGCACCTAACAACCACAAAAACAGAGATTGTGACTATAGTACAGGACAGGGCAAGGTTTCAGTCTATTGTTCACGGGGTTGCTAAAAGTTGTAGTGGACTCACCAGTACATCAACAACATCAACAACAATAATATCACTTTAAATTTTATTTTAAATAAGCCTTAAGAAATGAATCCATTTCAGAAAATTACCAAATGAACAATACTAAAAATCAAACCAATTGCCATGTAATCAATTCCTATTCATGGCAAGCCCGTGTATGGCAAAGTAGAATTGTGCTCCATATGGTTTGGTATTTGTTATTATATTGTTTTTTTATATTGTTTTATAATGTTGTTGTTGTTGTTGTTGTTACGTGCCATCAAGTCACTTGCGACTCATAGCAACCCTATGTACAGGCCTAAACCCTCCTGCTTATTCCTCTGCCAACCCTACTGTCTCTGACACACCCACCCTCATTACCCCTGTCACTGAATCAATTCATCTCATTGTCAAGCCTTTCTTCCAGGATGCTTCTGATGGGCTTGAACTTACAACTTTTATATTCATAACTGGCACTTAACCTGAACCTGAGGACTCCATCATGGCCGTTTAATGTCTCGGATTGGTTATCTGTGAAGTGCTTGCATGGGGAAGGGGCTCCTGGATTAACTCAAATCAATGTTCATCTTGACTCTGAAGTGTTGATGCATCAGCAGACACACAGTAGGAAGTGGACATGATTCGTTTTAGTCCTGGGATCTTGGACCTTGCAGACATGAGCAGCAAAGACCAAATGGTGGGTGAGCTTAGGATTCTCTTGGGACTCTCTTGGGATTCAAGAAGATTGTCTTGACCATTCTAAAAAAAAAGTTAAAGTCCTATTTCTTCATACAAAGGTTGCTCTGATTGTCAGTTCCTCAACTGGGAGATCTGTCTAGCTCAGACCTTTGGGATGTGCCAGTTCCAAGAAGCAAAAGATTCCCTTCTCCATGATGTTTAGCATCATGTCCTGGTCAGAAAATGAACAGAACTATTTGACTCAGCAAGGTGAGTGAAAGTCTGTAATGATATGTTTGTCTGGAACTGTACAAAAAAGGGAATGGATAAACCTTATAGACCAAGAAGACAGGATTAGAGAACTAGGGGATTCCAGCCAGCTTAGATGGAATGGAGTCCAGGACCATGACCCTGGATAAAT